GCTTCATTCACTTCCTCCACTGCTGTATGCTAAAATAACTAGCAGACACTGAGCAGAACATCAACGTCCTGTTCTGTGATTGGTCAGAACATCAACGTCCTGTTCTGTGATTGGTCCAGATGAAACACTCCTGAATAAATGCTTGTCTGTGGGAGAAGTCCCAGAACTGTAGGAAGACAAGGACCAGGATAAAAAGATTATATTAAAAAGACATGTAAATTTAATTTCTCTACCTGTTTTTGCTCTCCATCTGAGCAATGAGCTCCCTCTTGTGTTTGTTCACATCGAAGTTGATGCTCCGTGTGGGGATCACCTAAAACATATATGTGTTACCAGCTGCTCCTAATCAGTTTAAATGATACATTTTAAAGATGTTTTTAACTCACTCCTGAGCTCTCGCTCTCAGCCAGCCGGGACGTGTAACGAGCGATCAGTTTGTGCTCTTCATCTTGTCTGCTGGGAACGTCCAAACCACTGACACATCAAATGTACCAAAATCAACAACGAGTCCACACGCCAGAGTTAAATAACAAATAACAAGACACATGCAGAAAAATGACTCTTATTAGAGAAATTAAACACAAGGAAACTAATTTAAAAACTAATGAAATATGCTGAAAGCCTGTGTAGAAGGCTCTGAAAACTGACAACTAAGGAAGTTTTAAACAGCTGTTTTTCTGCTGTGAATCAGACCAACTGGACAAAATAAAATCAATTCAACAGGTAAAATATATAAAATATCAAGCACAATGTGGAAGAAGTGCCAAAAAAATCAAACCAAAAGGAGAAATACTTTTCCTCAGGATAATATTTGAATTAATTATTTTRATTGCATCACCACAGTGAAAGTTTTATTTTGAAAATCTCATCTGACCTCGGGCTGCTCTGCAGTCGGTTCACATACGCTGCGATCAGAGCGTGCTCCTCGTTCATTCGCTGAGCCGCACACAAACTGGGAGGAAACAGAAATAAACATCTTAATGCAGGAAGTTCCTGTTCTGATCCATGTGTGTGTCGTACAAATACTCTGTCAGTACTACAGTTTCCTCAAGTACAAGTACACAAGTCCCCTAAATCTGCTAATTAAAAATAAAATGAGAGGTATTAACATATTTCTCTTTCTGGATTTAGTTCCTTGAAAATTAAATGGTATAGCAGATTTGAAACGACACTTCTGATGAAAATTTAAATAACAATGTGGTTAATGTTTAATTTTTGTACACAGTAAAAATAACTTTTTATTCCACAGAAGAACACACTATGAAATGTAAAATATGTTTTTCTTTACAGGTTTTGAATGTATGACCATAGAAAACACTTCCCTGAAGGTCAAAGGTTCTAACTTTTAATTATATATTAAACATTTAATGATATATTACATAAAATTTAAAAAACAGGACTTTACAAACCCTAAGCTTTTGTCATTAAAACAAGGCTGTCTGTGCAAAGTTTGCATAGATGAATTAACTTATGTCCTTTTTATCCAGATGTGTGTGAATGTTGTAAACTTCACTCAACAGAAACAATAGTTCAGTTTTCTCCACCARCTCTGTTCATAGGTACCTTTTGCAGGACTCCAGTGCAGGTGAGGACAACAACATGGTGTCACTGGTGCTCCCAAACGGTCTGGAGGGGCTGCACATGGATAATAATAATAATAATAATAATAATAATAATCCATGAGTCTTTTAAAGCACTTTGAATAATAAATAAAAGTGAATAATCAGCACAGTACAGGAGGCAGCAGTGAAACGTTTAAACACAGAGGCCTGTCTATCAGAGAACAGCCTCACAGTAACACAACATCACGTGGCTCCTCAGTGCATTCATGCAACAGTGAACGGTTACACACTGAGCAAACACACACGGGACAAAGATCAACTGAGACACACAAAAACTGTGAAAATACTGATCTTCTGTAAAACAAATACACACAATACTGAAATGTACATGAGTGCAGAAGTAAAAGTATCCTTCCACAGTGTTGTTAGTGTACTCACATCTGTAGTTCAACCTGTTTGAGCTGGTTTTATACCTGTAGGTGTGCAGTGACCTGGTCTGTTTGTGCCATCAGACTGTACTGATCCACCACCAGGGCCGGAGCAACAGTGTCGTGTTTCAACAGGACGAATGTTATTTTAACTATGTAAATTAGCATTTTAACTATTTAAATTAGCATTTTAACTATTTAAATTAGCATTTTAACTATTTAAATTAGCATTTTAACTTTTTAAATTAGCATTTTAACTATTTAAATTAGCATTTTAACTTTTTTAATTAGCATTTTAACTGCATCAGTCATTATATTCTGTAGACCAAAATTCCTCAACTACAAACAAACCTGTAACCAATAAACTTTAGTCAATTTAAATGTGTAAACGCTGATTCAGCATTCACACTTTTCTTTCTGTTTTTCATTTTTCTGTTTTTACTCATTTTTTACTTCTGTAAATTTGAGTTATTTTAACCATTCAAATCAAAAAGCTCAGCTTTGTCCTCAGATAGGTGCTATTATTTTGTACGACTTTTAACTAACTTTTTCCTACTTTTAGCTATTATACTGCTAAATTCAGCTTTTAACTAGCCTTTTGCTCCTTTAAGCTTGTAGCAAGCCTTATGCAAATAATAGCTTTTAGCAAATCTTTTGCTACTTTTAGCTATCATTCCAATATTTTGAGCTTTTAGCTAACCTCTTGATCCTTTTAGCTTGTAGCTAGCCTTGTGCTACTTTCAGATTTAAGCTAACCTTTTACTATTTTTAGCTTTTAGCTACCATACAGCTACTTTTAGCTTCGAGCTAGTCTTTTACTCTTTTTAGCTTGTACTAGGCCTTGTGCAACTATTAGCAAATATTTTGCTACTTTTAGCTGTCATTTCACCACTTTTAGCATTTAGCTAACCTTTTACTACTTGTAGCTTCTAGCTAACCATTTGTGTCTTTTAGCTGACCTGTTGATACTTTTAGCTTTTAGCTAGCCTTTAGCTACTTACAGCTTCTAGCTAGCAATCTGTGATATTCAGCTTTTAGCTAGCCTTGTGCTAGTTTTAGATTTTAGCAACTTGTTGGTGCTTTTACTTAGTATTCTGCTACATCTAGCTACTATTTTACTGGTTTTAGCTTGTATTTTGCTRCTTTTAAAATGTAGCTAACCTTTTACTACTTTTGACTTTATGATAGCCTTTTGTTCGTTTTAGCATGTACCTAGCCTTGCGTTGCAGCTAGCCTTGGGCTACTTTTCAATGTTATCATTTTGCTTTTTTTAGCTTCTGTTTTAAACCTATACTTTAAACTAAACTGTTGGAACATTTTAGCTTTTAGCTAAGCTTTGACTGCTTTCACTCAGTGTTTTGTTCTTTCTAGCTGCAGTTTTATTACTTTTTGCTGGTCTTCTGCTACTTTTAACTTTAATGAACAAAATCTAATAAAAAGTAAGTGTGAAACGAAACATTAGGTTGAAATGATAACATGTTGTTGTGAAAATAAAACCTACACTATGTTGGCCAGGTTAAGGGTCCTCTCAGGTTCCTCAGAGTAAACCGGGTGCTGGGGCTCCCTGGATGACACGCAGCCCAGAGTTCGGCTCAAAGCTAGGCCAAACTTCTTTGCAGATGATTTCTACAAACATAAAAACAGACAAGTCGAGACTTTAAAGGGGTTATAGTAAAATMAACTTATTTTAGTTTTATATCATGTTATAATGTYCTCCTCTCATCAAAAACATGTCCAGAGTCTTACTTTGACTCATCCATGCAGGTTTATAAGTCCTGCAGTGTCCTGAGGCAGCAGGCAGGGGAGCAGAAACCACAGGTTGGGACTAAACCTACGGTGTTACATTTGTGCCATGAGTGTGCAGTAACACTGATGAGAGCAGATATTAATATGAACACACAATAATTTGACCCGTGTGTGTTCAAACAACACACATGTTCAACTTCCCCTCGGCCCGYCCTGAGACTCCTGCAGGCCATCAGCAGCAACAAGTAACCAAACACCTGCTGAAAACTGTGTCTGCTGAGCTCCTAATACTGAACACTTCTCAGTTCAGTCCTTTTCAGACTAAAAATACCTTTGAGGAAACGGACTTCAGATGCCGAGGAGACCACCSTCTTCTTCAGCTCCACAAGGACGACACGGTTCTTAAAATGGTTGGACTTCATGTTTGGAAGAAACCCTCCGATGTAAAAAGTTATATATTTATGTGAGCCCCTTTACAGATGATAGTTTTCWGARCTGAAGGGAGTTTAACAGTGGACTAATAAGATTATCACTAAAAGACCATGCAATTATTTCCTACACTAAGAAACACACAAACACTTGTCATCTGCCCTGGTAAGCTGAAAAACAACCCTAACCCTGCTGGCCACCAGTAATGATTGATGAAGTGTATTTGGATGTTGATCAGCTTATTGAAAAATGTGGACCAAACTAAATGTTTCATTTTAAATGGTCTGATGATTCGGTCTTATTTATTTATTTTATTATTTTAAATTAGTTTCTCTCGGCTGTTTAACGTCAACACACAGAAGACTCTTTCATAAAACACCAAAGACCAGGACTCAGATGGCTTTTGGCCACGAGGAGGTCCAAGTCTGCCCACCCGTGATGAGCCTCTGTGCTGTGGATCCAGTTAACAAAAATCTGATGACATGTTTGTAGCGACGGCGCAGTAACAAGGTTATACAACAACAAACTCATTTATTACTGAGGGAAATCAACGAGCCACAAACCACAAAGAGGATGGTTAAACTAAGTTAATTAGTATTTTTGGACAGAAAACGCCCGTCACACATTTAAAACATTTAAAACATTTCTGAAAACTCATGAGTGCGCAGGAGGTGACCGTCTGCGACCTGTCAACAGATCTCTGGCTCTGGGTTTTGAGTGTGTCTCCTGCTGTGATACAAGMGTAAACACACAGAGACTTACCCAGTACGAGTGCTCCTTCATCTGGTGCTGGTTATTATGGGAACCACTGGCATTGCCATGCCAGAAACAATCCTGGCACAGCTGGTACCCACGGCAGCGGAGGCAGCGGTAACGAAAGCCGGTCATGCCGTCACTGCGGCAGAAGGAGCACGTCACTGGATGATGAACTGGATGAAAAAAACATTGAGTCAAACCATCAAGTATGTTTTATTACTGAAAAAAACACATTTTTCTTTGTTATTTAAAGTTAAAAGTAGCTGAAAATGAGCTAAAAGTAATAAAACTGTAGCTGGAAGTAGTGAAACACTACCTGAAAGAAGCCAAATCTTAATTAAAAGCTAAAACTTACCAACTATTTATCTTAAAGTATAGGTGTAAAAGAGTAGCTCAAAGAAGAAAAATGATAACTTAAAGCAACAAAAGGTCAACTAAGATCTAAAAGTAGCACATGGTTAGCTACAAGCTTAAAGTGCAAGGCTAGGCACGAGCTAAAAACAACAAAAGSCTAGCTAGAAGCTCCGAGTAGCAAAAGGTTAGCTAAATACTAAAAGTATCAAAAGGGCAGCTAAAAGCTCAAAGTATTACAGCTTTTTTTTTCCTCCTTTTTCCTTCCTGTTTTTTACTTGTACTTTTATATGAATAATGTTTCTGGGATGCTTTTAGTTTTTTTTTCTTTTTTGCTTTTATTGTGCAGCCCTTTGTGATTTTATCACTATGAAAAGTGCTATATAAACAAACTTTAATTACTTACTATAAGAAGCAAAAGGTTAGCTAAAAGTAATAAAACTGTAGATAAAGTACCAAAACACTAACCACAACCTAAAATGACTAAACATTTTGCTTAAAGAATAAAAGAGTAGGTAAAAGAAACTAAATGATAAGTTCAAAGCACAAGACTAGGTACAAGGTACAAACAACAAAAACCTAGCTAGAAGTTAAAAGTAATAAAAGATTAGCTAAAGGCTAAGCGTTAAACTAGACTTGCTACAAGCTAAAAGGCTAAAAGGAGCAAAAGGCTAGCTAGAAGCTAAAAGTAGCAGTATAGTAGCTAACAGTCACAAAATACTACCTAAAAGCTGTAAACTGTTGCTAAAGTAGCAGAAACTACCTAAACTCAACAAATGATTAGCTAAAATTAAAAATTAGCACAAGGCTAAGTACAAGCTCAAAAGGAGCAAAAGGCTAGGTACGAGCTATAAACAGTAAAAGGTTAGCTAAATGCTCCATGGTTAGCTCAGGGTGCTACATGTAAATGATGGTGGAGCTCCACCACGGTTAAATAAAAGCCTCCAGACCTTCAGAATAAAGTTTGTTTTTTTATCACCGTAACCCAGGGGTGGACACAACCATCGTTTAGTTTGTCTAGTTTGTCTGAGACAAACTCTTTCTGTTTTGGACAACCAGATCCCACCTGCGGTGTTCAGTGGACAACAAGAAAAAAGACCTGGATTTAAGTTTTCCTCTGCAGGTGTAAACATCTCAAAGCTCCTCAGCTGAAACCAGTAAAAGATGTTTAAAAACCTGTTTCCTCAGAAAGTCTTCAGTCTAAAAGCACTGAACTGTAACTGTAATCAGCTCATGGACACACAGAGTACTACTGTTTAAACACAGAGTACTACTGTTTAAACACAGAGTACTACTGTTTAAACACAGAGTACTACTGTTTAAACACAGAGTACTACTGTTTAAACACAGAGTCCTACTGTTTAAACACAGAGTCCTACTGTTTAAACACAGAGTCCTAC